GTTTGCAATCAGAGAGTTTGGAGGGGTTGCTGCATTATATTTTTATAATAGGTTTGCGAAGGAAGTAGTAACAAGTAGGATTTTTGCAGAAGATTTTTAATGCATTAGGAGATTTGATATGATTTTAAGAACCTGGTTTTGTATAATTTGAATTTTCTTTATGTGTGGTTTTGGAGCTACCATCTTACGTGGAAAGACGCTGCGATGAGTGTTGGATGGTATATATACAAATAGGTAAAGGACTGAACAAGAGCGGGAACGACTCTTAGGTGTCAGTAGTTCTTTACTGCCAAGGTAAAACTAGGTGTCGCCACACTTTGGAGTGATTTTAAAGAGTTACTTTTGAAATTGGTTGATGCTCTTGGAGTTAAGGTTTGAAACAATGGATTGGACATTTATGTTGGGTATTTCGGAAGGAATAACACGGTGGTCGCGTGTTCGACGGGACACCCTGTGTATACCGGTGAGCCGAGCCGGGGCAAGAATTTCATTTCTCATTGAAATACCGCCATATTTTCATCGTGGCGCGCGGTGCGTTACGTGCACAGAGCTGACTAAGATCTACAATTCAACTCGGCCCCGCTAAGAAGCAAATCGCGCGGCGCAACTTTCTGTGAGCCGAATTGGAAATAATGCGAGAAATGAGACCGGCTTCGACGGGGGACCGTTTTATCGTCGGTTTCAGCATTCCGGGCCGATGACAAATTTCCCTTATGGATTTGCGATCGTTACCGTTCCTGCGTTACTTCTGTATGTTCGCCGTGTAACCCGGTGTTTGATAATGGTTGTTGGTTTTCGTGAAAGTCGAATCATTCGTCTTCTTCCGACAGGTTATTCTCATTTTCATTTGCATTTTACTTCTATTCTTTCTTTTATACCTGTCTCTTTTCATTCCTATATGCTTCAAAATTGCATTATTCAATGTTTTCTTTTAATTATGAACAGCCTTTTACGTATACATTAATTTCATGAGACCTGCTTCAAAATTGAATATTTAAGAAACGAATTAAGGAAATTTTCTCAAACTTTCTGTGATGATATATATTGATTTTAGATTGTTGAAAATACTTTTCGACAGTATTTTACAAGAATCACTGTATTAGGAGTTGTTCTGATGATCATTGAGGTTGCACACGGTTAATTAATGTTTCTATCGGTGACATTAAACGAGAATTATGCGGACGATTGGTTTTTCGCGAGACGCGAACGAACGTTCCGCCGTGTATCCAGGAATCGAATTAAATCAAACGGGGCCGCCGTCAATCAATCTTGATCCGCTCGTAGATATTTGACGCGTACCGCGAAAGTGCGCATCGTCGAATCCTTCCAGGAATTATGTTACCCGCTTATTACCTGTCGTTGCTCAATAACGGAATCTATTTAATTAAATCGCGGCGTGACCGAAAGCAGATGGAAACGCGCTCGATTTTAATGAACCTGTCAACGTCAACGGTTTCGCGAGCCAAACATTCGATATCTGTTTCCGTTCGACCGTTATTGTTTCACATTGCACATTCCGAGCGGAAATATAACTACAGCTGAATACTTTGAAGTGTAATGTACTTAGAAAGTCATTCGTATGACAAAGCAGCTAGAGCACTTCTCTGAAAAACCTAAAAAATCCGATACAATTACATTGCATCGCATAATATACTTAATTTTTCATTTTCAAATACTACAAGTGCAAACAATCTGCAATTCGTTTATAAATCATGAAACTCTAGATCTCTGATGACATTACAGTCAAATAAATTTGTCTGAAATAAAATAATTGTTCGACTGAACAAAAAGTTTTATCAAGAAATTTTAGAGAAACCTATTTATTACAAAGAATAATCTATTTCTCAATCTAAAATATGTTTCCTCATTTCGTTACCTCTTAAACCTATAAACAGGGGGCACCTAGAAAAGAATGAAATCCTTAAGAACAATTTATAAAAATTCATAAGAAGTCTGCCAAGAAAACTTTCCGTCCAACCCGATACATCTTGAGTTCACCTGAGAATTACCGTCTCACCCTCAACATCCTCTCGCTCGGTTGAGCCTATCGCGAGCAATTAATGCCGGCGATCATTCGCCAAATCAATTAGTTTTATAGCGGCGTGCTCTATTTGCCGCGCATAGATTACCATCGATTAATCGGTGGCTCGGTATCGTATTCCCTCCGGAGAGGAGCGAGAGGCAGGCAGGAAGGAAAAAAAATGGTCGGCGCGGAACGTTGACGGGTCGCGGTAAAAGCAACAATTTCATCAACCACGGGAACTCGTCGCGCCGTCCCAGAACACGGTTTAAAGGGCGCGCAAACGACCCGGGGAGAAGCGGGCCGCGGCCACGCTGATTGATCGTTGATATCGCGCGCGGTGCACACGCTTCGCCGTGTAAAGTTGCGAGATCACTTGATATCTAGACTGAGGAATGCGAATTTCTAATTGATCAATTTTCATCCGCCCCTATCTTAATTTTTACGTTAATTTGCTAGTCGTATCGACCTATTGCGTTGGAAAAGTTGCAATTTAAAATCTGTTAACCAAACGAGAAAGGAGAAGACATTTTCTAGGGACAGAAGACGGTAGAGTAATAATCTTTAATTCTTCATTGACAATTTTTAATGGAAGAGAAAAGAACGAATATCAGTTCACGTAACCGGAATTTCGTTCTGCAAAGAATGAAAGCGTTCTTTCCGCGCTGAATCGAAAATCGCGATATCAACGCACGTTTCCATCGTTCAGGGGACAAGATTTCTATCGGAAATGAAAACTTCAGGGGCGTGTGTTTGAAGGGCGGTTAAGCGATCGAAAGGGCTATCGCCCGCCAGCATTTAGCAAGGTAGCTTATTTGTCTCGCTGTTTCCCCAAAGCCGCGAGCGAACACGCCCGTTTCGACGAGCTTTCTTTGTTCTCCGTCATCGTCGTGAACTATCATCCACCTTATAAAACCTCTTCACCCTCGCTGTTTCCGTTACAACGTCAGCCGACCCACCTTCCGGATTGTTTCCATATTTTAATCCCCTTTTCATCTTTCCTCCAGTAATCCTTCTCTCAGATGCTACCGTTCTTTCATTCTCCATAATCCAGTAAAGGTTGTTTCATCCCCATTTTCGAAACTATTGCGAAACAAACATTCTTTTGTGCCGATCGCTATTACGATTTTGCACTCGATCTTCGAACTTTCTCTCTTCCTTCTTCTCCTATCGTCGTGTCAACGTTTTTCTCTTGATTTTTTCTCTTATATCTTTCCCCATCTTTCCCGTATATTTGCCTCGCGCCGTCTTGCAGCGCCCTCGTCCACGCGCGCGCGTAAACCGACGCGACCGTGGAAACGGATAAAGCCGTTGAGCTGATTTGGAATTCTTTGCTGGGACAACGAAATCGTATTACATTCATTAAACGCTGCGAGCCGGCTAAAGAACACGGGACACCGGCCGCCACCACTGCCGCGCAACCCCCCACATAAGAGAAGCGAAAGGGATCGCGGGAAAACGGGGGAATCGTTTGAAAACGGAAGGAGGAACGACCCCGCCGGTTCGTCGCAAGAAGACACTAGCTAGCGGTTCCAACTTCTGACCTCACTTCCGGTCACCCTGACGAAAATCCTCGACGTGCCTGCGGTCCGTTCCTCCTAGTCCAAATTTCGCCTACGTCTAGCCAGCGATAGCGTCGATCTTCTCTCGAGGATCCCCATTCAGCTTGGAACTTTATTTAAATGAACTTTCGTCTACTTTTGCCTGGTTATCGCGTGCATTATATTTCAAGGTTTCCAATTTGTGGGATTGTCTGTTTCTGAAATTACCTTTTACTATGTCGAAAATTATTTAATCCTTTCTCATTTCTGATGCTTAAGATTGAATAAATGCGACCGGGAGATATCATTCATCTTCGGATTCAGCTGAAAGCTTGATTTAAGGAACAGGATTGAGTTTTTAATTTCTGAAACGTATAGTACTAGTAAACCTTTAAAAATACTGTTATGGTCACGTCAGGTTAAATTTTGATTGCGTCTACTTGGCAATTATTCTCTAAAGATCTTTATTGAGCAAAGATTAAACTCTAGAGACTATAATTTCTCGAAGAGTCCCTTTCGAATCCACAAGCTTTTCCCAATCTGACATGCAGCTCTTTGAACGGATCCTCTATCTAACCTCTGACCTATCAGTGAAATCGTAGGCGGCCAAAAATCGTCACTGCATGACGCAAGCAGCAGAGAAGCTACTCTCGAAGTGCCCACAGCATTTTACAAACCGCGTGGGTTGTATTTGATACCCCAGAAGCAATCATTCTCAGCTCTAACTTCAGCCTCAACGATTTCCTTTTTCATCCTTACAAGTATATCCATGATCAATACGCAGTAAACAAAACTTCAGCGAGCCTCCAGCAAAACCTCCTCGTTCCTAAACACAATCAATGGATCATCATCACCAAATATCCGACAATTCCTCCATCAACTCTTCCCCTATCATTCCACCAGGTCCCTAAGAATCCTACAACACAACAATCAGCAAACTGTCGCAACCGAAATAACACACCCGATACCGAGTTCTGTAAAAAAACTCTCTACATCCACGGTCACCTGGCAACTTTTTCACCAGGTCAGCCGAGGGGGCAAGTGTCTCGCCGGCTGATAACAATCGACGGTCTCGTAGGCATCGATGATATCGTCGCGAGGGTATTGGTCCCATCGCTAGCTCCCACGTTGGGGTAGCAGCGGCTGTAGCAGCAGCAGCAGCAGCAGCTCTTCAGGTATCCAGGGTGGGGTGAGATTGGGCGCAGAGAACCGGCGTCGGTAATGGTGACTACGTCGGGTGGTGGGTTCCGGAGCGCGGAGGGGAAGCTGTCCGGGGGTCGGCGGGGGGTGCACCGCAAGCTCGAAAGTTGGGAAAAAGCCAAGGAAGGGGTTGGTGCTCGGAGGGTAGGTGGCGGACGAGGGCGCAAGCTCGAGGTCGTCCCTGTGCCCTCCCACTCTGTCGCGCGATAGGTGGAGCTTCCCTGGCCGCCAATACATATCCCGGAGCCGCGTACGCTGCCGTGCGTAACCCCCAGTCAGTCCTTCCACGTCCGAAAACGCGCGCTCCACGCACCCGGTGCGAGCGAGCGAGCTTAGCGCGGGCTCACCCCAGCTCTCTCTGCGCTGCGCCCAGCGTAGCCTGAACAGGTTAGCGATTTCACACGCCGACGTGATCGTTACCCGCGTCGTCTCGCACCCTGTGCGGCTCTCGGCCCTCTGGTCCAGTTTCCCTTCGCCAGCTCCATCCTCTAACGCGTCCTCGTCCGGACGCAAAGGGTTCTGTTTCGCTGTACCGCCTCGTGCTCCCCAAAGTGTATTATTCCGACTGTTCCGTTGCATCGAGCCATCCCCTAATTTACGGCGGCCGGACCTCGTTACCGCTTGGCTGGGTCCTCCGGATCTCGCGGTGTGTTGTTCCGTTTGGCGAGGTACGAGCTGCGCGGAGTTGTGACCCCTCGTGTGATCGAGTCCTCCGAATCGTTTGGAGGAATGATTCTGGCGGCGAGGAGGTGTACGGAATGAGGGGTGAAGGGAGGAGCGGTGGCGCAAGGTAATTAAACGGTAGGGGGGAACCGCCGAGTGTATCGAAATTATCGTTGATCCTTCGCGGATGTTTGATCGAGGAGCTACGGGGCTGCGTTCAGTGTCGCTAGCTCATTGTTTTTGCTTGATTATGCCAGGTCGAACGACCCTGGCATTCTGGAATGCCCGGTGGATCGCCTCGGAAATAATAAGTATTACTTTGCCGACGAAAACCGTGACCCGATTGGAACCGCCGATTTTTCGTGTGCTTTTGCTCGATGTAAAGAGACTACGGATGCAACGGTGGCTCGCGGGAAATTCGCGTGTATTGCGACGTTGGTAATGCGATTGAGGATCGTTTTAGGTCGGTGGAAAGTGAGCTCCCGACGAATGCGAGGGAAACGTAGGATGTCGGTCAGTCGATTCTCGTGATTTCTCCGATGACGTACGGTTGTTTGCTCGTTTTAGGATGATCGAGGAATATTGAACCGCACAGTGATTTCCATGGTTGATTTTGTGTACGGGAACGTTCGCTTTCCGTGACGAATCGCGTGCGACGTGAACCACAGCGATATTTAATGTCCGTGGAAGATGGCGCGTGTCGCTCGACCCAGCTCGATCCATTTCTACTTTCCAGCGTCGCGTACTGTTCATGGAACCATCGCAAAAGCGTTCTGTCGCGCAATTCTGTTGATGCATTGTACGTGCTGAAAACTGGTGACCATGTGACAATGTTGTTTTAATTGAGTTGTAAGTGACAATCGTCGTACTTGTCGAATACGCGAAGGAAAAGCTGTGAATGAAGTCTTATTACTCGTGATTTTGTTAAAACTGATTTAAGATTGGCTGATTGTAATTTCTATCTATGAGCATTCACCTTTAATCTATTACAGCTCTATTATGTATTAAATTATTACATTTGCAGGTTAATTTTGTCTGTTGTTAATTGTATATAAAGACACAACGTTGTTTGTTTCGGGATGCTACAATTATTAATGGTAACTACTGAATATGAGGCGTGATAGACGAGTACACACGCGGAATTTAATCTTGAAACAAGCTCGTAATAGGATCTATCTGTCTGATTATTCAGCGATCATGTTCGAGGAATAATTCGATTGTCTTGCGATCCAGAAACGGTCGGTTATTGAATGTTATTTGAAAATGCATAATTCGAAATAATGAGTACGTGATGTACATTTAGACGCCATCTTGCAATCGTAGAATCTCATTGTTCTCATTAAACTTACCTTGCTCCTCAGTCAGTTCAGGCATAGGCGCCTAACAACACAAGTGTTAGCACGTTAAACAACCATTAGAAGTCGACTGGTATTCTGTGTGGCTATTTATCATATCCATCATATCATCATATCTTATTTAACATACCCAGATACAGAAAAGTAATTCTTCGTTAGATTCTACAGAAGAATCTAGTAAAAATCTAATCATAAGAAAAACAGAAAATCAGACATCCAACTCAAGCAACCTAAATCTCAATTTAATTGTCTAAATAATTATTACATCCTGCATTAAAGCTTTTATCCCTAGATTATACTTGACAATTTCAAAATTCTTCTTCACAGTTTCTTGCTTCATATGCAGTAATATACGTAGGACTAAAATTTAATGACAATTAGTCGAATCGTCGCGTGTTCGCCAGTTTCAATGATGAAACGAGTCATTGGTCTTGCAATACAAAGGTTACACGTCTCGAACGACAGTGCATGATAAGAGTAGATGTGCAGCTTCCTGATTGTCGATCAGTTTTGCCGAGGAACGAGGAGGCAATTAAGGACGCGGCGTGTGAATGAACTCCGACACGGTCGCACCGATGGCATTTTAATTGTTGTACGATTGCGTTGCGCCTTACTCTCTCTCTCTCTCTCTCTCTCTCTCTTTCTCTCTCTCTCTCTCACTCTATCTCTCTCTCTCTCTCTCTCTCTCTCTTTCTCTTTCGCACTTTCTCTCTCTCCGCCCCGGTTTTGCTTCATCCGAACAGCTTTATACGCGCGAAGCGTGTTCGAGCAGTGAAACTTTCATAGCACGACGTGAATTTATTGTCGTCTCGATTCACTGTAACCTGCTCGACTGTTTCGACATCGACTATAAATCGTTTCCGGAGCACACAGATTCTCCCCGATTCTGTAAGAATTCTGTTTACAATCGCCTTTCGTAAGGTCCAGTCAATTCTTACTTCGAAATCGTGCGTTTGCGTACAACTTTCAGGTCACTCGTCCTGTTATACGTAGTTCTTGTGGATTCTTCTGAATCGAGCGTTGTAGGAGACTATTTATAAAAAGTGGAACTATAATAATATTGTGACTTTTCCAGTAAAATTGCGATAAAAAGTATTTCAATGAAACACGTTTCTTTTTCTCTTCTACTGAATACTTATAGTTAACTGCTATTAACAAGTTATATCCGTTACCAAATATTTTATCAAGTTACAAGTGCAATGAAAATTCCATTCAGGCTCGATGAAGTCTTTAATTCATTATTGTACGTCGAATATTTATATAACCGTATACATATATATTGTTCACCGAACGGGCAGAACATTCGACAAGTTTTAATGAAATTTTCATTACCTTCCCGTGAAAAACTGTATTTATACCCGTAGATGAAAATTTAATCCAACGCGGTAGTAGTTTTATAATTACACCGTCGGTACTGTAAGAATTAATAAAACGGTTTTCGTTTGCGTTTTTTCCAGGAAATTATCAGAGTATTCCGAGCATCGCGTGCAAAATCGTTTAAGACATTTAACTCGAGTGGCAGTTTGCAATCGCCGTTTAATTAAACCCAGCAAAATTATAAAATTTCAAATTCAACCTTAAATTTTCCATAATGGATCCACACATGAAACACCGAAACAAACTAGTTCTACCTTCTAATTTATACACGATTATTCTTTATATTATTTGCAAAAAGTACCATTGACATTTCATCAGGAAACAATGATTATTTCTAACATAATATATTATCGAGTGCAGAGGGTTAAGTTGACTTTCCAGGAAGGAAAACGTTGTCGCGCGCATAGAAAGTATCTATGAGCTCGATTGGCGAGGATTGGCGGTCACGTGGTCCATGTGCGAGTTTTTTCAAAGCCGGCAGGGGAAAGGTGTGCCGGGACGGCCGCTGGCAAATTTCTGTTCAGTCGACGTTGTCTCGGTCAATAGTCAACACGGTTCCCACCGAAACACCACCGGCGACCGTACGCTTTTCTTCGGCAGTTTCTTGGCCCCCTGGTCGATTCGAGTGTTAACACAATTCGCTTCGGTTAGTTCCTCCTCGGCTCGTGCGCCAGATTTTATTTACCGATAAATATTGGTTCACGACTCTCCGCGCGCGTTCCCCGTTTAGTACTGAACGGTCTTCCATGAAATATAAAGTGGAGGTCGATATTTCTCCTCGAATATCCCTTACAGTTCGTACTTGCGTATTTTCTTTACGTCTCCTCGGCATTTCATGGTTTTTTACAGAGCTTTCATTGAGCTTTCGGTACATTTCGTTAGCTTAATTAGTATTGAATAGCCTCTTGAAGAGTTTAAACGAGTTTCAACGTTTATTATATTCGTTTGTCGTAATTTAGGTTTCTTGAGAACATGCTCTAATTATAAGGGAAGTTACATTGTTTCTTTGCGTCATGTTTTAATTGATATTGAAAAATATAGACGTTCGAGTATATTCATGTATCAAATGTTAGTCAATCAATTTATGACATTATCGTCCTTTTAATCAATTATATAATGTTATACAAGTGGATATAACTAAATCGCAGACAACAATAGAACTTACATGACTGATTCATAATGAGCATTTATGAAATCATGCATGACAATTGGTACCATACAGTCATCCAAATAGAACAATACTTTAATCAATTAACTAGCTTGTACATCGAAAAGCTATACCCTCCACAATATTCTCTCGCGAATCTAATGCAATCCCTAATATCCTTCTCGAACCCAATTTTCCGGTCAGTCATCTATTAATTGAAATTTCAAAATGTAGGTCTCCCATTACGCAGAAATCCCAAATAAATCAAAAAGTCCACGATTTCTTCGCGAAATTCCAACATTTTCCAACCAGGAACCCGGAAATTCGAGACATCCATAAATCGCCAAGGAATCCAGCCGGGGGAGTCACCTTGTCGCGGTTTCCGGGCACGAAACGTTCCCACGGATGCTCTGGTACCATCGTTGTCTAGAGAAAGCAAAGGTTCCCTATTCCCGAAAGTTCGCCGACGAAAAACGAATAATAGGGGCTGGAGGGGGAGAGGGTCTGGGCCAGCCGGGGGATGATGAGAACTCGCGTGGCTTCACGGTGTTCCTTTCGAATTTCCAGATCGGACATAAGTGCGCGCGTGTGGTTCGTGTGTGTATACATGTGCCATCCTCCGCGTCGACGGTAAGCGGGAGAGAAGAGGACTCGGGCCAACCGGAGCCGGAACCGAAAAATGGATGCGACGCCACTGCGACTCATTTCCGGACTGCTTTTGTTCGCCTACACCACCTTGTCAGACTATAGTAAGTCATTTTGCTTAATAAAGCTACTCCGCTCTATCGTTTGTGCTTGCCTCTACATGTGTGCGTGTATGTGTGCGAGTGTGTGGATGTGGGTGGATTCGTTATGCTTGGCGCATTGTGGCTCTGAAACCAACCCCATCGCAGGGTAAACGAAACGCAACTGTCTTTCGAGATGTTTCAGCATGCTTCAAGAATTTTTTAAATTATTCGCGATAGATCTTCCGTGATGAATCAAATTATTTGCCATAGATATTAAAACTTTCCGTGCACTACCGTTCGCAAGTATCAGGTTAGTTTATAGGTAATACAAGTTTTCTTTTTATTTTAAACGTAATTTAGAATTTGGACGTTCGACGAATTTATTTAGGAAATGCTTGATGACAGTGGTTAAGAATTGGAATGATAAGGCATACTTTTATGCATGAGTAGTTTATAGAAATCTCGGAAAATCAGTGAAATATGAATTGATATGGTGTAATATTTCTATACAAATGATTTAATTTTTCGTTTATATGCGTTATCGAACTAATTACATTTTTCAGTATTATTTATAATACTTTATATACTTTATATATGTACGTAGTGCTTGTTTAGGATGAATGTTTCTTAAGTAGTATTTGGTAAGAATTTTTGACAAATCAATAATTACTTGATAAATTTCCCGATACTTACGGACGAGTGCGCGGGTTTTAGAAGCTTTCAGCGAAGAGGGGGATTTAAAAAGAATTTTGACCATCCTCGAGCGAAACCAATTGTGCGTGTGCTCTGTTATTTACCTTAGATACAAGAGAAGTGTGAATAATCTACCTGGTTTGACATAGAATACACAGTATATAGTTTACGGTCGATAGTCGATAGGAATCGGAGAACGTTGCACATTTGCGGTTCAACGTACGAGTTGTTTCTCTGAAAAAAGTATTGCAATGGTTCTACGCTCAATTAACTTCTTCGCTGTTAAATGCAATAGCACGACAGAAATAGTATGTTACAAAAAGAAGATAAATTAAATAAATGTAAACACAAGGTACTAAAGCATCTCAAACATAAACTCGTTCTAACAAATAATAATGAACGATCGGTAAGCCCAATAACGTGATCCTTACTCTTTACAGAATCTCGATTTCTTCACAAGAATATTAGTTAATTTTCCCAATATTTCCGTATATATACAATATACTACACATTGTTTATAATTTGAAGATTTATATAAATACTCGAAAGAAGCTTTTCCGGACCTCCGAAGGTTAAAGAAAATGTAACGATTAGAGAGCCCGGGCGCGGCAGACGCGACAGGAGCGTCGGCCAGTGGTGCTCAATTGATTAAACAGTCGCCAATTGTCGGTGAATGATGCCCGCGTATCGGCGCGGCGGCGGTTATGGTAATTTGAAAACTTTGAGCGATTTAGAAGGTAAATTGCTAAGGGAAACGAGGACGTGGCTCGCCGTGCCGAGCCACCGCTGGAAAGACGCCGGCAAATGCGTCGCCGTAATTGCATAATGGCCCTGGTGTGTTCTCGTCGAGATACGGAGCCCTGGCCTGGTTTTTACTTGAGGACTTTCACTCCGCATCACCAGGTCCTCTCTTCTATCTTCCTCGTCGACCGAAACCTCCCGCCTCTGTTTCTCTTCCTTATTTTATTCCTCGCCTCTTTTGTTATTCCCCTTTCAACGTCATTCTGTATTTCATTTTTTTTCTTTCTTCGTTGATCTCGACGCTCCTTGTCGATATTATTCTTCTCCACCGCTTCGAAGGTTTCCTCTGAACTTCTGAAATTTTCGAAACTGCTACTGGTTTCTTTAAAAAATTATAATAAGGTATTAATAGGAAATAATATTCAAACCCATCGTCACTCTACGCATCAAAATTCATAAAAAAATCATCTATTCTATACAAAATCAAAACCTCGATTCATTTCCGAGAGAAAGAAACAAACATTTTTCAACAATTTGAAACACTTACTTAGTGAAACCAGCAAAACATTAATTACACAGAAGCAATACTCTAGAGTCTAGGGCCTAGACTAAATGGATTCGAATATAACCCTAAACCAGTGAACTATATTCAACCACTAACTCGTTCCATACACATAAATAGATAACAGATTAGTAACTCGGACGTTAAGTCCTTGTTGCTACATACCTACAACATACAAAAAACACTCGAACCACCAATGCAATACCCGAGTATATAACAACCGCATAATTCGTGGACTCGCAACGATCCGAATCGCTTTACACGGTTACCGGCCAGGTCGGTGATCGGTAATATGAAACGTTGTTTTTGCAACAAATTAAGCAGGAGCACGAACGACGGTAATCCTCATGTATTCAAGGCGAGTCTGAATTGGTCGTTCCTCCTCAAGGGCGGTTACATCGGCGGCGATTTAGTTTGAGCATCCGGTATAAGGAACTCCCCGGGCTGTTAGCCGGCATTAGTCGGTTTCAAGTACGGAATATTGTTTCTGGAGATCCCGCCGCTCAAATTGCTGGCATTTAGCGGCTTATCTGGATTATCGTTTCCCCGCGGCCAGCGCGAGGGGGTTGCAGGCGTTTCCGTGGGGGTTGAAAAAGCGAGCAGTGCGTCTCCCCCGGTTTTCGAATTTCAATGTTTCTCTCTCTCTCTCTTTCTCTCTCTCTCTCTCCCCCCTCCCTTCCACCCCTGGCGCTGGGAAAAGGATTAAACAGTGGAACGGATTAGAGACGATTTTTTTCTCTGCCTCCCTCATCGTCTGCTCGCTCCCCTTCCTACGCGGGGATTCCGAAGGAAACAATTCCTTCGCCGGTGGAAGCGGAAATTCGAATGTAGAGAAACTTCGTACGAAAGCTGAGCTGAGTTCGGTCGACTCGTTATCGGATTATTAACCTTGGATTAAGTACCAGTATAGTTTTCTGCGGTTTATTCAACGGCAGGGTCCAGCCTCTTGTTATGAATATATATAGTTTGGGGGTAAAGATTTTGAAAGGTTTTGAGATAAGAATGTGGACGGCGGATGTGCTTATTTTGAAAATTTCGGAATTCTTTGTTGTATTTTTATTGTAATGCATTGTCGATTTATTTGTTAGCTGATCCTTAAATTCTTTGCTTTATTATTTAGTGTCGAATTTATTGTTTGTTGTATCTTTTATGTCGATTTGATGATTGAAGAAAAACATTTTTTAGGGGTTGTAAAGATGAAAGACTGTATTTGCCGAGTTAAGTCTTTAAGATCCACGCTAGGAAATAGTTGCAAATAGATTAAATTCAACATTTTTGTAGCTATAAGATATTGCTGATTAGTGTTGTTTAAAATTCATGTACGGATTTGTATCTCTGAATTGGTCCAAAGCGAGATGTTTGCTCCATTTCGTTACGTACTGACACAAGTGAACCAACGTTTTACGTGTGACCCACTTATCGGTTAATTTGAAAGGCTTTCCACGTGCTCCAAGATCGATCGCTCATTGTTCGACTAAATTTTACCTCTGGATTAGGATCAATTAGCAGGTCGTAGGTGTAGATGAAAACTTTGCGAGTATCATAGTTGACTCAACACATCCTGCAGTCAATTATTCGGTTGATCGAAAATTCTCAATTTATAATCACTAATTAAAATTCTTCAGACGTTCACATTCCATTATCCTTTATTATTTTAAATCCCAAGATGTTGAGCCAGATTTATTGCACCGGCAGTGATAATGTTCAGAGCAGTTAGTTTGCCTAACTCAAAGTTTCAAGAAAAGAAGTAACTCCTCTTAACTTTCCTGACCTCAATATTTTTCTCGGGAAAATGTCGTTTGTATATGAGGAACCCATTAGCCACGTTCTGTTGGTATCAAATTAAAAACACAGAGGGTTGTTCGTCGGAAAACGCTTTGCAGCAACGGCAGAAGCAATTGTTCACACCTCGCCCTCTAATGAAGTTCTATGACCGCCCACTCCGTCATGTCTCCCCCGTTTCATTTCTGTTTCAGATATTTCTTTCGCGAAGTTGCTCCTCCGTCGGTATCTTCCCTTTATTGTCCGCGGCTTCTAGACTCTGAAAAATGCTTTATTGAGTTCGCGCAGTATTCGACTCGGACCGGGGAAAGAGGGAACCAAGTTCTTTATGAAATGAAACATTTTCCGCGGATCTGTCCGCTGAAAATTCTTGCTAATAGTCGACCCGTTTCTCCCGGCGTCTCTTCTTTCTACTTCGTTAGGAAGTTAAAGGGTGTACCGCAGATAAAGAAGCAAACTTTCGTGTTATTTGATCGCGTCGCGAACAGTTCCTTCGCAGAAATTCTGATTTATCGAGATCGTTATTCTGCAGTTCATGAAATTCACCTTAATGTAACGTGTGATATTTGTAATTTAAACTTTCCAACAAAAGTATCCCTTTATATAGCACATCTTTATATTCTGGACATAAACCATCATTACTCTTCTTACTTCACAATTCAAATCGAGCACGGTCGAAACGAAATTTCTTGAACAACATTCTTCTTCCTTCACATTTGTGAAACAATCTTATTTCCAATTCAAAATACACAACTTCCATTTGTTTTTAAGAACAAATCACGTGATAAATATTACTCTCTACTTCTAAATCAGAAGGAATAATTACTGTTCAAATAAAAGGCGGCGCCAGAAAGGAATAAAAGGTGAAAAAAATAAATCAAATAAGTACGTTCTCGTCGAGAGAATTCTAACTATCCACAGAACAGGGTCCAGAGATCCTGCTAAACTTCCGGGGCACCTTGTGTGCTTGTCCGCGCGAGGATACAAAGAGAATAGCGAGGGGCAGCGGGGGGCTGACGCGCACATGTAGCTTCCAATAAAGCTCCGCTCGAGTGCTCGATCGGCACTCGACGAATCTCGAATCGGACAATACCCTCATGGCACGTCCATCTGAAATAACCCATAAGGTCTCTCGAGTGTACATTTATATAGAGGGGGGAGGGAGGGGCGGGAAAATGCCTCGTAGCACGGTTACCAGTATCCTGGCTGTGCAAGTAGCGAACCTACGATACCTTTTTTTTAT